TTTTGGACCAGTTTAATAAAAACATTTATATTTACAGACCACAGCCCAACCACAGCCAATTAATAAGATTAGGGCAAAAAATATACCGAATTACAAATTTTCAAAATCTTCAACCAAGATATAAGAGATTGACAGAAATGGGTGAAACGCATAGCAAAATATAACATTTCTGGATAAAAAATTACTCCATTGTGTCTAAATAGTTGAATACAAAGCAAGAAAAGTGGTAAAATAAAAATAAAAAAGATTCCCAGTTACTTTGCACTATACCTGCCAAATCAATGGAGCTGATCTCATGAAATGTGTGCTTGAACACACAACCTCATAATTATCAGATCTATGCAAGGTCAGGAGAGGTCAAAAATTATAATAATTAGGTCAAAGTAAACTTTGGTTATGTAAGATGAGATCTGCCAAAAATGACTAAATTCCAGTGAATAGAGCCATAATTATGGTTAAAACAACAACCTCAGGTGGTCCTAGGCAAACTGTTACTTCAGGGCTCATACCACTAATTGAATTTCCATAGACGACAATGTTAACATATGACGAGATTGCTATATGAAAATGACGAAGAAAGTTGAAAATATGGCTCAAAAATGGGAAATCAACATGCCAGTAATCAACCATATGAAAAAAACTAACATGTTGGCCAGCTCAAACTCTTGCAAATCTCAGGTAAACAAGACACACCTACTGTATTTGGATTGCACCAAGAGAAATCACTGGAAAAACACCAAGATTAGAACATCCATTAACACACAGAATAAACCCACAGGTACACAGCCGCTAAGTAGTAAACAAAAGACCACATGTTGGTCTCACCTCTGACCCAGGTGATTACGCCCTCAAACAGGGAGCACCTGAGAAAAATAATATTTAAAAAATTTCATTGGTTCTTGCTGGGCATTTAAATTGAGGGCTACGAGCAGCCATTGGTTAATTAGTGGCATGAGACCTTCATGTGTTAGTCACATCACTTATTCCATAGCTTCAATATTGCACTGGTTGCATGTACCTATCTGTGATAGTGCTTGAGATATTTCAAACAGAATGTAGAGGGCCCTCCCCCCTTTCCCATGATGCTTTGCATGGTACAATAAAAAAAATGTGAAAAAACATTCTAAAATCATTTTCTAAAAAACGGCTCATCGCCTGGAGAAGCCGTTTGGAAAAATAAATACTATGGCACTTGATCTTTCAAAATATATGCAGGGTTAGTGAATTAGTCAAAAAATATGCAAATGAGATGCAAAACAAAATTTCTGAAAATTCTAGTAAAAAAAGTCACGTGACCGCTAAAGTTTTTTTTGATGATATTTTTAGCCCTTGTTCCACTGCTGCTACCATAAAAAACTGGGAGCACTCAGACCCTCAGAAAGTGTGCAATTCGGCATTGAAATTTCGTCTTTAATCCAGATGGCGGCCGATGACGTCACATATCGAAATCGGAAACTTTGACGTTTA